TTAACAGCAAAAGCTGCAAGGAAAGAAACCTCTTTTTAAAATCACCTCTTCCTAGTGTGCAGATTTACACCTCTGGGCTGCAGTGATGGTCAGCTGCGGCTGCAGGACTGAAGGTTAGAAGGAGAAATCCAACATCTCTCTCCTCTTGAGTACCACCTCTTCCCTTTTCCTGCTGCGCTGAGGTGGTTGCCGTGGGGATCCCTAGCTCAGTGCATGGATGTTCAGAGCAACCTTTTGCAGCTAACATGCATTGGGCTGCAAAATCCATTAGCTTCAGCCCTGTACAAAGTAGACAAAGTATAGTGGATATAATAAAATTATAGTGGTATCATAAAAATGTATTACTCTTTCATAAAGGATATTAAGTGTCTGAACATCTATAAAAAGGTTCTCCATCAATCCTCTACTTTCAGTTCCTGCCTGTGGGGCTGAGGCTCTCCTTTTATGAAATGCACACTGCCTGTCTTCACTTAACTCAGGGTATTCATCAAGATGCACCTGCCTTTGGTCCACTGAAGCAACAGGGACAGATTCTGTTGTGCCTAACAGGGAGTAGAAAGTGGGTGTAAGTGGAAAATCCTACTTGGTTAGCGTTGCCTGTCCAGCTTGCACAGGCACCCATGATGGTGTGACACACTGGCGGCACAGAGTCAGGCTGTACAGGAATAGGACAAGTTTTTCCCCTGCTCCTGAGTCAACTAACAAAGGAAAAACCGTTGCCTTTGTCATCCACCCACTGTTTCTGCAGCAAGGTAAAAGATGCTGTGTTACTCCCTCTCTATTACTGGCCCTGTGAGGCAGTACATTTTCAGCTTTGCGGCAACCATAGGGTGACTTCAGGTTGGTGCCCCTCCTGCCGCATCTGAGTTTTCAGCGCACAAAGCCATAGGAAATCGTCAGGGAAGTGCTGTGTCTCATCTTTCCTAAATTCCTCACATTTTGTGAAAAACACCAAGTTGCTCTTAGCCAGAAATGGTGGCAGCATGTCACTAGGACAAGCTATTTTTATCCCCTTTCTTTATTTGTTTTCTAGCGTATTCAACTAAGCTCAGCAAGTTTCCCGTCTTTAATTTTGGTGACGACCTCAAGTACCTGTGTATCAATGCTGTGAGCCCCAACACCACCAAGGCCACCCTCTATGCTCTCAACGTGTGGAGATACTGGTGCATGACCAAAGGACTCGGAGATTACATGGACATCACTAAGGTCAGAAAACTTAGCAAAATACTGTTCTTTCAGTGGTGAGAGCCAGCCCCCCCGGTCAAATTAAGTTATCATGAAGTTTGAAAACAGAGGGGATTTCAGCCTTCTTTACGTCCTTGTGGTCTTGGGGACCTTCCAAGTTTCTTTTAATAAAGCTGTAACCTTTTCTAATTCACACCCTGTTGCCTTTATGGTTGAGCCAGTAGCTTGGAAACCCAGGGTGATACTAAAGATTTCCATGTACGTAACACTTGCACACAACCTTGGCCTCACGCTGCCATGTGACAAGATTCCCTGCTGTTACCATAAGGACATACTGTTTGCATGATTTTTGCTCCCAGAGCTAGCCAATGCAATTCAGAGCATTTGAGGACTTTTCTTCAAAAATGAACTCCCAGCAAAATCAGTGTACACACCAAAAATAAGGACTGTGGCTAAGGGCCAAAGTACAAAAAGCCCCACTCACATTTTTATAACTAAGTTTCTCTGTTAGGTTGATCTAAGACATTGGCAGGCCAAAGCAGCCTGACTGGCAGCCTGACTGCAATACTGACATCTCATGGCCAAAAGAAGAAGCTGCTGCTGCTTCTCCTTTTTGTCCTCCTTCTTCTCCTCCTCTTCCTCCTTCTCTTTCTCTTCCTCCTCCTCCTTCTCCGCCTGAAAGGTTTCCATAGGTACCACGTTACTGCAAAAGTACAGAGTATTACACCCAAGTGGTAGGTCACACATTTGCACACAGTCACACCTCACTTCTAAATAGCCAGGAATGTGGCTCCTTTCTCAGGAATCTGGATTTCTACAGCTGGTGCAAAAGTGGTGCCAGCCAGTGAGATGGATCTGGTCTGCCTGAGCATCCTTACACCATGGGGTTTCATTGCATCTCTTTTGCTTAGATAAACATGTAGCCTCTTCCCAAGACTCTAAGGCTGCCCAAAAACAAACTTCTGGGGAAGCGTGGAAGCTGCTGCAGGTCTCTTCAGACAGAGCATGGAGAAGCCCTAAACGTGTCTTCCCCACCTGCGACGTATTTCCTTCCCATAAGTACCTTGACACATCTTTCCCCTTCATGTTGTTCCAGATCCCAGCAGTGAAGCTCAATGAACTCCTGGAGGACTTTTACATCACCGTGAAGAAAACAGATGGGTCTGACTTTCTAGCCACGTCCCTCCACGCTATCCGACGAGGCCTGGACCGGATCCTCAAGAATGCTGGTGCTGGTTTCTCCATCACCAGCAGCACCTTCAGCTCTTCCACCAGAAAGCTCAAGGAGAAGCTCAAGGTTCTGAGCAAGGCTGGGATGTCTGGTGCCCGCTCTCGCAACATTGTCTACTTCTCCCTTTCTGATGAGGAAGAGATGTGGAGGATGGGATGCCTGGGAGATGACAGCCCCGTAGCCCTGCTGTCCACGGTGGTGAAATACAACAGCCAGCACCTGAACATGCGAACCTTACAGGAGCACGTGGACTTAATGTTTGGCGACATTGAATTGCTCAAAGACTCTCAGAACAGGCCGTTTTTTGCCAGAACAGATAGCATGAAGCAAGAAAGCAGGGTGAATGCGAACAGAGCGTGTTACGGCCAGATCTACCACGAGCACTCGAAAGGGCACAAGCTCTGCCCATACTGCCTCCTCTACAAGTACATGTTCGTACACCGGCCCCCGACGCAGATGGAGGCCAAGTCTCCCTTCTACCTGACGCCCCGGAAGGAGGTCAGCGGCATGGGGAACATCTGGTACAAGGAGCAGAGGATGGGGCTCCGCTCCCTCAGGGGTGTCGTCCCCAAGCTGGCGAAGAAAGTGAAGCTGGAGCACTGTGAAAATTTTACTTTTGTCTCCTTCACTCAGGCTTCCAGGAAGTTTGAAGTTTGCCCCTCTTAACTCCTACCAGTAATTCTGTCCTCTGTCCGCTCTTACCAGCCAGCGTCCCAAGAAAGTGCTTTGCCCAATAGCTTTAGTGTGATGTGAACAGGGTGAGCTGCTTTCAAACAAGAGCAAAAAATGGAAGGACAGGACATTAAATTCTTCCTGAGGAGGACTGCACATTGTGTGGTCCCATTTTGGGGACGAATACAGCCTTGTTCTGAAAAGCAGGGGGGCAATGGTCTCCTTCACCACTGCCAGGTCTTCCAAGTGAAGAGGCAGTAAAGAGCTTTTTCCTCATCGGAGGCAGCAATGCGTGCATCGTGGATTTTCCTGCTTAGCAAGCATAGCTAGGAGAAAGGAGACTAAGTTTTGGGGACCAAGAACTCCTGAAGCAGAAGTGCCTATGCTTTCTTTCAGAGCTACTGTACAAAAGACTCTCTTGTGAACGATATTTTTTGATGGTTCACAGTTTTCTCCACTTGTTTGGTGTATTGTAAATATAGATATTTTTCAATACCTGGTCATTTACACTGGATCTGTAGGTACTCCTAGAAACTACTATTGGCTTTACCAAATAACAAACAAATAGATGAAATTAATTACAGCATCCCCAAAGGACAGCATTTTCAGTCAGTCATTTATAAATGGTGACCACCTAACTCAACAATCAGCAGTTCGGGGCTGTCCAGGTTTTGAGACATCTTAAAGGGGGCTTATATCAGAAGTCAAATGCTCAGCATCTTTTGAAAATTAAAGCACTCTAAGGTGTCTCAAGTCTGGTGTCCAAATGATGTAATTTTCAAAAATCAGTGGTCAGTTGTAAAAATAATTGCCTTAAACTTCTACAGCTACAGCTTGGTCCACTTTCTGTTGAGAGGAAAACTTCATTTCAGCTGGAGCTGTGGCAAGCCTGTAAGTCACAAAAAAGAAAACCTGGAAGACCTAAAACAGAGTTGGGGACATGCAATTTGATGATGTGCAATCTGCTTCGATTCTAATGGAAAGGTACCTCTGGTTTTCTTCCACCGGGTTGCAGGGCTGTGAGAGGATTGATGAGGTTTACCGAGCCCACTATACAGTCATTAATTTTCTATTACTGTATAACACGTTGAAATCACAGCTTCAGTCCAATAGGTACATGATTGCAAAGATAAATAATGACATATAATTGTACTTTTTTTTGAAAGATAGCTTCTCCCTCCCCCAAAGTGCTTGAATTCTCTTTTTTTTTAAATATTAGTTTGATTTGTAGGATCTCTATGTTGTAAAATATAGTATTGTTCCTGTCTTTTAAATGCTTTTGCACGGCATTATTTTAATTTTAAGAAAGTAATTCGCTGGATATTGAAACACAACTTTAGCAGGGGAAACATCTGCTAGGAAAAGCTGCTACCTACAACCCCCACAGGCTGTGGACTTTGTTTCCCACTGTCAGGGCGTTTTTTTAAGAGTCTGATCCTGGGAAGCCTTGGCAGCCTTTGCTGGAGGAGGCAGAGGATGTTCAGGATTTCCAGACAAGCTCATGTGATGGAAGTAGGATCTTCTGCCTAAACAGGGTTTCAGGTGTGCATCGTGGGCATTGCTGCCAGAGGAAAAATGCTATTTGTCATCATTTTCTTTTGTTTCATGGGTGATGGTAAAGGGCATTCCCCATTAAAAAATACCATTCTGAGTCCTGCAGAGCAAATAGCCAGTTAAGACAGAGGAAAAGCAGAAGCTGGGCTGGGATAGGGTTTATTTGTCTTTGAAAGGAGAAGAAGCTGTTCTAACACAAACCATTTTGAAACCTGAGTGCATCCAGAAAATCAGACTCTTTGTTTGGTAACTAGGGGAACCTGTTCTTCAGAGGTGCTGACCTGCTGGAGCTCCTCCTGCAGTCACTGCCACCGAGCAGTTCCCAGGCTGGGACCTTCTGGTGGCTGTTGCCAGTAAAAGCAGTCATGATGAAGTTTCCTTAGGCACAAATAGGAGGTACAAAAGCCCAGTGGCTGTTCCTCTAATCTCTAGAAGTTTTTAGCTGTTAATTTCTTTGCTCAGTTGATGTGGCTCTATTTGGTGGGTCAGGAATGCTCTGTGGTGGGGTCCACAGTCCTGGCCGTGTGGAGGGTTTCCTAGAGAAGACCTATGTGTATCCCCTGCCCATATGCCCAGGGGAAACCTGGCCTTGCAGGAGAGGTGGGCACTTGCCTGGGTTCAGACCTCTGCAAAAAGAACAACTTGTTCAATATATTAGCAGAGGGAACACATAGAGCAGTAGGACTGGTTGCTTCAAGGCGTGGTGATAGGGACTGCTGTGGTTTCTCTCAACAATTGCAAGCTTCTCCCTGTTCCCCCAACAGCGTCAAGGCACTAGGAGTAACTAACAAGTGACTAAACAGCACTCCTCTGCCCATGTGTGTGTTGTTTCTAAGAGTCAATAAATATCCAAGGAAAGCATTTAGCTCATGTTCAATATCCCAAGCGGAAGGATAGTTCCTTTTCCATGTTTTGCAAAGGACTGACTATTCTATATATGAAAACTGAGTAAATTCCCAGGGTTGGTAGGAATCATACAATTCAGACTGATTTTGAGTTACCCTGTTTATTGTCCTGTTCTCGTTCTCCTGCAGTAGCATCTGATACCATAGAGGAAATACCCACAGTGCATCAGAGTACTATGAGGGTTTTTTTTTAATAGTGACATAAAGTGAGTGAAAAAGAGGAAAAAAAAATGTTACTGAGTGCTTTTGTGAAGAAGAGTTGGTCCTGATTTTGTCTCACAGTATGTCTTAACTCCTTTGTCTGATGTCCTTGAGTTTGACAATTTGATGTCTCTTTTCTCACTTACAAGCAGTGTTTGTTCTGAAATAAAAGCAGTATCACCTTTGTAAACTGTGGAACCATTACGAACTGAACTGTTACAGAAATTACTTGGATGTGGGGAAGAACATGTGGTGTTTAACTGTCAATTTTTGTCACAAGGAATATTTGCCTATTAGCCAAACTTCTTCTTCAGTACGGATGGTTGTTTTTTTTCTGGCAGCTCCTCAAATCCATAATCCTGAAACCTATGTTTTATCTAACAATATTTAACTCATTTGACTTCTTTGGCTCAGTATATAATTTTCTGTATTTCAGCAGTGGTTAATTATCTGGAGGAGGCAATTTTCCTCGTGAAGCAATTCCTATCAAAAGGCGAAAGGACAAGGCCAAAAGAGGTGTGATATGACTTGCCAAAGGCCACAACACGGGTCAGTAGCAGGGTATGGTCAAAGTCTCAACCACATCCACTCGGGGCACCCCTCATCTGCAAGGCCATTATTGATAAATGCAGCTCCGCTGGGAGTCCTGTAGGAGCCGGCACTCAAGAATCACCTAGCCAAAAAGAAAATCACGATACGTCAAGAGCGGCACTTCCCCTTTTTGACTATTAGCAAATAATCGAATGCTGCCAAGGACAAAGAAACACCCCCTTTGCACCTCTGGCATGGCTCCATTTCCAGCCAAAGCAGGTATCGTCTGTTCTGTGCCCAAACACCCAAATTCCAGGCAGATGGGGTTGATAGCAGCCTTGTGCTTCTGCGGTGCACTGGAGAGCTAGGCCATGAGTTTTCAGTTTCCAGCCATGTCTCACGCGCTGGGCTGTGCTCTGTCCGTGTTGAGAAGCTAGCTCTTGCACACTTCCAGCCAGGCATACGTTATTCAGTGAGTGTTTCTTGCACTCAACAACTTCCTTTAAAGTACCTCTCGTATTGCAGAATCAGAGCACTTAGCAAATCCTGACTTTATGAGTTTTTGTGGGCCATGGAGGTTACGCAGGTGTTACCGTAAGTCGGCAGATGAAGAACTCTCCAAGACTCAATCTGGAGTTTTAGAAAGCAGGCATTCTTTATTGCGGTGCCGGGTGCAAGGTGGAATTTCCACAAATCAAGCACACCTATGGCTAGATCACCGTTATGTTTATATGCAAGAATTACAAGGTAGTACACTCCCAGTTACAATGATTGGTTAGTGATTTACATATAATATCCGCTGTGTCATTCTCTTCAGTTACTACACTTGCGCAGGGGAAGGGTCTTCACCTGGGCAAGGGTCATCTTGACCTGTGGGTGTGTTTTTTAGT